ATTTTTTAAATTTATTTTATACGCTCTATATACATTGGAAAGGCCCTTGAACTGAACGCCTAAAAATAGTCTAGCCTTTGCGGTGTTGTAAAAATCTTGACATCGGATTATCTGAAATGAAAAACTCGAATAGTTCTATGTTYACAAAGACTACAGCAACCGGTGGTAGCAGATTTTTTCATTTACAAGCAAAAATAACAAAATGGCGTCAGTTGAAAAAAAATTATCAAAAAAATCTCATTTTTTTTCTCATTTTTTGTCAAAAAAAAAAATAGTTAAAATGAAAATTTTTTTATAAATCTGCTACCACCGGTTGATATATGCGTATAGATTATGTGGTAAAAATTTCAGACGAATCGAATAGCTAGTTTTGGAGATTCTTACAACACGCGGTTCAAAAATGTGATTCCGAGAAAAACGCATTTAAAGTTTTTTTAAATATTTTTTTTACCCGCGCACGGGTAGATTCGAGGGACGAAAAAGTACAGTTAGGATGCTCTGATCGTTTTGAAATTTTCAGAGAGTATTCTTAAATATATTTACTTACGAATAATCGAAAAAAAAATTTGAAAAAAAAAATTACAAAGTAGAATCCTGCCTTAATATTGAGTTTGTAAATACGATTGATAATCTTATAGATCGTTTTAGTTGTTTTAAGTATGTATTATATTTTTGTAAGGAAAAGTTATATAAATGATAAGACAGGTGAGTGTATATGGTCAATCGAGGGATTTCGATCTATAATAGAATTCTTTTTCTTTCCGAAAAAGAAGATGGATGCGTTATCAAGACTAAGAAGGGTATGTTCGAAATTTCTTTCAAGTTGAGGGAGAGTTTACAACGGTCTTCTTCAAAGAGAAAGAGAGAGCAAAAGAAAGAGAGAGAGAGAGAAAGAGAGAAAGAAAGAGAAAGAGAGAGACGAGAATGACAGTGCGGTTGAAAGATAGGATAGCACCGAGGAAAGTTTCGCGTTCGCGTGACGGATGAATCGCTTCTTCTTCTTCTTCTTCGTGGTCTTTTTTCTTCCACCTTTCCGTGCTTTCTTGCCCCGATCGAATTTAATAATAGGACCGGCTGTGAACAGTAGGTGGAAGGTAGTAGGAGAGGAAAATCATAGGAAGGGGATAACCAGCTGTGCTAGCCTGACTGGCGTGCCACGACCGTGATGGTCGGTGACCTTAATAGTGCCATTGCTAGCAGGGTTGATGTCGATCGTGCTAGTACTGCTGGTGGCGCTGTTGTTGCCGTTGCTGGCACTCTCTCTCTACTATGCCGAAGCGTGAAATTAACCCGAACACATTTCCCTCAGGTACACGCGACGTAAACCACACTCTCCGCATTGTCCAATTCCATTTACGTGTGCTCTGCAACTACGAAGGATCCTTTTGACCATATTTGTAGTACACTAACCAATACCTAGATATATAATAATGTATTTCTATTTTAAGTATTCATATATCCCCCGTGTATATATATATTATATAATAGATACACGCATACTCATGCTTCATCGGTTGGAAATGTAGGTTTATTTTTAGATTGTTAGGTATATTATTTTTAAGCTTTTAATTGAAAATAGTTAAAGTATTTCTCGATTTGCTAATTTATTGATTTTTTATGATATATTTTTATATATAAAAGTAGTTTTCATTAGAAGAAAATGGACTTTTTTATCGTATGTACTTTATTATTTGATTCTTCACATTGGATATATGTATACTAATATACATATATATGTATATATATATATATATACATATCTGAAGTACGATCGTTATAGCAGCATCTGTAGAAATTACTAAAATTTACATAAATGCAAGAGCCAGAGGATTGTTCGAATAGACAGCGGTTGGATCACGGACATGCAGCGTGAAGCTGACTCGAGAAGTTCTGTCGGTTGTCTAATAGAATTTCGAATGTTCAAAGCTTCGTCGTTATATTATTATACCGTAGGAAGGTCGAGAGTGTTCCGAAACTTCGTGAAAGTCAACGAGACACATGCATATCTTGTATCCTCTCGATAACCATTTAGGGAAGAATTGCCAAAATCTTAACATTTATGATATCTTATTTTTATATTTTTTATTAGCGAGTATCATAAAAGATAACACTTTAAATTGTATTTTGATATTTCTTCTCTATTATCTTCTCCATAATCTTTTCCATTAGTTTCTTATATTATTTTATAATTATTACATTTTTTTTAATATCAGAAGCAAAAAGAAAAGATTTAGTAACTTATTCTATATAATTTTTGCAATAATAGTAATAATTTAATGTTATAGTTTTTTTATTGTTTTTTTTTTTAAATAATTTTTAATCTCTATACTCTACAATTGTAGATCCATTCGATTTTGATGTAGAAAAATATAGTGTTTTGATGAGAAACACAAGAAAGAAAAGAAAATTGGATAAAGTAATAAATCATAGAAGTAGAAGTTTAAGTATTTTTTTTCTGTCTGCAATTAAGTGTGAAATAGAAGTGTGTCATTGGAAATCATACGAGTATGTCAGAAAGATCTACTTTGTCAACTTTGAGATCGTTAAAAGTGGGAATCAGTGAAGGGAACGAACATTTCATACTGAATATCGTCCCAAAGGCATTCTTTTCATCAAGTCAATATACGTGTTTGCAGATTTGAAATTTTAGTAAGTTTATCTACGAAAATCGATTGATCGTTGTCCGTAGTGTATGAATAGCTTATAGTGTAGATATAGAGTTAGATGTAGAGACAGTAAGCTTCTGTGGATCAATTAACGCAGGCAATTATATGTAATATTTACTAGGAAACAAATGTAATCAAACGTATCAAAATGTTTGCCATTGATTAGTGATTATCGCTGCTCGATTGACAAATATAGAGAAGGACAATTATCTTAAAATCGTATTCTATTATAAATCAATAATATCGATAATTCTCTTAGGCCAGATAGAACAGCATATTTCAAAGAAACTTTCTCTTTTAATGTTTATTTTATCCAGCTTTTAATAATCATAATAGAAAGGATAATAAAAAAGGTCGGAATTTTTAATATTCTACAATCAAAGAACATACTCAAAAATTTGGGATATCTACAAATAATATTTACTTACACGGTATATTATAAAAATGAACACACAAACATATGCATACACATAGCATGTACAAACCCGTACACATCTCTGTCTAGTCAGAGCGATTTAATCGAGCGTCAAGATGAATATAAGAGGAAGGTACGCGTATGTAAATTGCTTAATCAACGCGCACCAGTTGGAGTTGTTAGGTACAATTGTTTTGGCAGCGTTACCCTTCCCAACATTGGAAATTATACGTTGCACATCGTCGTGTGTCTCTTCGAGACAAGCAGAGCTTCTCTAGGCTGTCGCACGTGTGTCATCTTGTCGTTACGTATAATTATTCACGGTTACGCTTCGAAAATGAAGAACAGCAAGATTAGATCCCGTCTATCAATCCTGTCTCCTTTGGTATCCATCCTAAGAGATGGAACCAGTAAACGAACGAAGAAGCATATTAACTCTGAATATTCTACCGTTCTCTCACTAATATTTGCGTTAATTAATTAAGAAGTCAAAATTACTTATCTTTGGTATTATATTCGCATTCACGACGATCATTGTCAACAGGCGAGGTGTATCAGATAAACATAGTTCATAGAATTTACGTAACATCAGTTAGCTCAACGCAATTCATTATGTTAATCACTTTTCGTCGCGTGTCCGTAGATATAATGTCTCTATTCAAAATATTATTAATACGAGTCAAAGTTAGATAACGAAAGTAATGTTTAAACAAGAGATCATCTAAATTTATAATTTAATTAACTCATTTTTAATGATAGTTAATTATATTAGTTTAGTTATAAATGTTCTCTTTTTATTCCGTTAATTAAAATTTCGATAAATATCGGATAAGAAATTCAAATTCGATTTTTCCATTTATCACAGAAAATTTGATATTACGTAATCTAATCGTCTTACGGATTTACGGTATCATATGTGGACGTTATTGTTACATACGGTTATCCAGGAAAACACATTCACCGTGGAGAGGCAGAAGGTCGGATCTTGTCTGTCATGTCCGTTCAAGCTGTCTTGGTTGGTAAACCGAGGTCGAGATTACAACATTGTCTCTCTTCGTTTTTAATGGTGCGCATCCTTCTGTGGGATACGTATCGTTCCCGCATGTCCGTTTAATTTTGTCGTCTTTGGAACGTGTACGAAATTTAATACCTTCCGGAAAATAGAATATTTGCGTGTTCTATCACATAGCTTAGATACGTAGATCGAGGAAAATAAATTAGAAGCGTTACACATTTGAATGGCTGTAATTTAATTGTAATAATAATAATATTAGCTTTACGGACATTTTTGTATACCTATTTCTACGAACATCCCTCAAATTAACAGTTACAGAAAAATATGTATTTTATGGTATACATAGTTCAAAATATGAAAATAAGAGAGTTGAGAGGGCTATAAAATCAGTAAAAATTAATTAAAAATAATAATAATGATTTTTGTAATTTTACATATGATGATTTTTATGTTGAGTAAATTATTTAGTAAATAAAGTTTTTAAAATCAAAGCCTATAGTTTGAATTGCAAATTAATTCGTTGAATTTCGTGTTTGGTGAAGGAGACGGATATCTTCTTATTATTATTGTACCTTCACAGAGAGGTAACCAATTATTCAACATTTTTCCTTGAAAACGTTTCTCATATTAGATCCGCCGTGCACGGATTTCATCCTCTTCGTCGAGTTTCTTCGCTTTAACTCATATGATATGCATATACATATAGTATATGTATATGTATAATATATTTGTATTTGGAATAAAAAATATTTCAATTTATTTTCGAAACGTCTTTTGACATTATTGATATAAAAAGAATTTAACGACACTACATTATTATTTCTTTTTTATTGGATATGTAGAAGAGGAAAAAAAAATCAAAGAAATCGGTGAATTAAAAATCAATTTTATTTTTTTGTTTCAGGTTTATGAGATGTTTGTGGCTGGCTATCAATTTAAGGTACTTTCTCCAGTATTTACCGTGCATTGGGGCCTGCAGACGAGAAAAAGTAGACCTTCCTGGCGTGAACGGCAAAATAGCGCTAATAGAAAACATTTCGAAATGTTTAAGAAAGAAGTTTTTGCTCGTTATATGCGAGATCCCTTGAAGATGATGAAAAATACAAACTGACGAAAATATCATCGGGGAATTCGTTGAACTCTTTACAATTTACCGTCCTTTTGAACGACATAGTTTAACACAAACTTGAGAATTCAGTTTTATTGACTTAAAAAAAGCCTCTCTTTCGTACTCTTAATATTTACATCTGTATTTTAAAAAACACACAGCGCACATACACAGCCAGACATGTACAATATTTTTAGTAGAAATTTTTATTGCTTTACTTATTATTATTTACCCCTAAAGAGATATTTAAATCATTTCTAGATTTTTTATCGAAACTATAACATTTATACAGTTATTATATAAATATAATAATTTATCGTGACCAATTATATTATAAAATCTCATGAAAGAATTTAATCGAAAAGAAAAGATTTTATAATTATTCAATAAAAATTTCTATAATTATTAGACGGTAATTTAACGCACTTAAAAGTTCACCGATTCGTCCAAAAGTGACCAATGGTTTGTATATTGTGGCTCTTGTTAAATTCAACTCGCGATTTTTCAACATCGTCAAAGACTGCCACGTGGCATCACGGAAATAAATATCTTTCTTCTAAGTTTCGTGACACGTACACTAGTGTACAAAGAGAAAAACGAGTAAGAAGTTAAGTGAACGTACCTCGTTAGCTGTCTACCTGTTTCTGGAAGGCAAAAGCGGCGTATAAATTTCGAGATCGATATGTTGAGAACGATCTCTCACTTGTCTCTTTTCCTCTATTTCTCTCTCTCTCTCTCTCTTCGTTCTTTCCAATATCGTCAAGAGAGCAACGAAAGATAGATAAATTTGTAATTAAGAGCTAAAAATTTACATTGTTTCTAAACACAATTCTATCGTATAAATAAGATTTTGATGAATTTCATAACATCGATAATTAGATACAGCGTTCGGAAAATAACTTTAGAATAACTAAAGTTATAATTTTAAGATGAGATCTTTTGTTATCATAAGAGCACATAAGCACATATACACACACTCACACAGACACACATACACACATATATATAGGCCTATAGAGGAAGAACGTGTTAGTGAGTGAGAAATGAAAACTAATTCATAATATTTTATAAAAGGAGAATTCACGAAGTGAACAATTCTTTTTGCTTACACTGTCAAACAGTGTTTGAATAACTATTTTTTTTTTTTTAATATAAATAAAATATAAAGCACCTGCCAAATGCTCGATCATTTTATTTGGTAATATTAGTGTAAAATTGTTATATTTGATGAGCCTTTTTCATTTTGGTATTGATATCAAAAAGATTTATAAATTTGTATGTTTGTTATTATTTTAAAAATCGTTATCACGTTAGATAACTATTCGTTGCCGAAGTTTCATGCTCGCGTATTTTATGATGGAGTGTTCGGTATTAACGAATCGCGTACCTAAGTGAAGGCGCAGCCTTGAAGCGCACAAGGCACTTTATATTGTAAAATTAAGGATTTAGGTATTTGTCTAAGAGAAATGTTATAAAGGGTACATAAAAATAAGAAAACAAAATATTAAAGAATTATAATAAAGAAATTGTGATGTATGCGAAAAAAGATTTCTTATGACTTTGACATTTTATTCTTTTTCAGATTCATCTATAATAATTGCATGCTATATAATTTAATAATGATTTATAAATGATAAAATCATGATTTAATTGAATCAATCCTAATATCAAAACTCGTCATAGATTCTTTTGAGATAATATTTTCTGGAGATGTAAATTTATCTCTTTTTTAATACCCTGGGTGGGGACTACTTTGAGAAACTCAAGTCGCATAAAGTCAAAAAATGTTACGGCTTAACAAAGCATATTTTCTATTAATCCATCTCATAAGGGAAAGCTCAAAGAGCCTATAAGAGAAATTTTGTCATCTAACTTTACTATCGTCATTGTCGCTGTCGTCGTCGTTTTTGTCGGCTCTTGTCGATGTAACGCACTGATGAGACGGATTAAATGTTATATCGATTTCGATGGAAAAGCACGTTTTCTTGCCAGGAAATTACATTTAAGCTGATGTTGATAGAAGCAAAGTGTCATATAATGTATATGTCTACTGAGAATTTTGATATAATCTAAATAACTTATTTACATTATATATATATATTTCGTTTTAATGTATTTTTATTTAAATTTCATAATTCTTAGATAAGTAAATCGTTAAAAACATTTTGTTGGTGAGATTTAAAGAAGAAGAAAATAAGTTTTAATGAATTTGTATTGATATTTGTTTAAATTTGTTCCTCGAATTCGAATCGATAAATTCTTTGAATACTAGTGTCATTTTTGGAAAGACGTCATTATGTTTCAAACCGTACAAGAAGACGCGTACTCGCGTATACACGCGCGTTAAACTTGTTGGTAGAAAGTACAGCGTACGAAGTTAGTTTGACGATAACTAGCAAAGTTATATGCGGCGGTTGTAAGCCTCCGGTCGAAACTTTGTAATCACCCTGTACATTGGTCGTGGAAGAAGCGTTTTTCGTCTTGGAAGAACGCAAAGTTCGTTCAAGTATGAAGTTCTTTAACTATCCTTGAGAAGTTTTTCAAAGACATTTAACAAGAAACATTTAATATCGTTATTCGGTAACTACCGGTTGTTATAAAGCCTGTAAGCATTATTATCGATGAAAACATTTTTTAACATTTATAGCAGTTTATTGAGTTATGCGCACAACAAATATATGTATATGGAATATTATTAATTATAATTAATATTTCAATATTGGATATATAATACATACGTATGTATATCAATATCTATGTAAATATGTTCGACAATATTAATAGTAATATTGATATATTTCAAATTATATCTTAATCTAATTGCAAATAAATATTACTTCGATAATGATATATTTTAGCGCAAAGTAAAACGAATCTTATCTGGGTATTAATTTTATTCGAAACATCGCTTGCAAAATATATATATTATCTGATTATTTAAGTAAGATATTAAGATCAATAAGCTTCTCGGTTTTTAATTTCGTATGAAATATTGCAACGATAGGGAATAATCCTATCGAAATGAATCATCTTCGAGACACGATAAATCGATCTTTCCGGTTTGTTTCTTCTAACTAAATACATTATTTCTGATCTTTTTGATGAATATCAATGTAATAAGTTGCATACTTTGTGCATTATCCTTTCAAATTTTATTTCTACGAAATTTTTGTTGAGTCAGTTGAATTTCTTTTTTTTGGAGGGGGGAGTGGGGACGAGGGGGAGAAAATCTTATCGACATTTTTAACAAAAATGTCACTTATATATTAGTCTGCCAGTTTCAAATTCGATCAATGATAAAAGAAAAATACGATGTGGCGTTTTTGACAGAAAGTTTTACTTCGCTAGTTATCTAATTCGTATACCCTTTTTCTTTCCTTGCCTTTTTTTCTATCTCTTTTTATCCTTAGATTGACAGCCACTTGACGACATCAGAAGTAACGTTATTCGGTGAGAAATGAATGAGACAGTCGATGGGATTGCCAATTTCATTTCTTAAGTTTTTTTTCTTTTAGCTAAAAATAAAATATAATTTCATTTTGGATTTGCATATAATGGCATTCAACCTGTACGGTCCCGTAATTTGTTAAATGGATTCGTTTGAGCTTTCTGACTCAACAACTCATTTCAAAATGGTTTAATTTCATCGGTTACTCTCGTAGTGGACCGGAACCGGGTAATTTCTAGCCAAGCTTGAAGGAACGCACGAGCTGAAAGGGAAAGGTTAAGGGTGTTGTTGGATGAGGTGTAGAAAGGGGAAAGTTAGATAGAGAGAGAGAGAGAGAGAGAGAGAGAGAGAGAGAGAGAGAGAAGAGAAAGGGGAAAGGGAAGAAATGGAAGATGGTAATAGATCGTGTGTAGAGACGAGTTGCTAGATGGACTACGTGGCATCATAGAGAGTACGGCTAGATGCTGTACCTCTGTTACTACTACTACTACTACTACACTACTACTACTGCTACACTACTACTACTGCTATTACTACTCCTACGCTACCTGACTAAATTATTAAATTCAACATCGTGACTTTGCTTCTCTTTCTTTTTTTTTCCTCTTTCTATCCTCTCTCGATCCAGCTATGCTCGTTAAATTTCTCTCCTCTTCCTCTTATTTTTCCGTCCTCCAATTCTTTCTTCTCTCTTTCTCTTTTTCTTTCTCTTGTAACTTGGTTTTATCATGCTCGAGTTTTTCTATTAGAGCCTTAAAGCGTCTGTCGAAAAGGTGCGCAGAAAATGATTCAAGCGAAAGCGAAAGCAACGTGGAAGAAAAGAGTAAGCTAGAATATGTTATGATAAGCAAGGGAAGCCGCTTCAGACTAAGTGAGAGTAATCTTGTAAAATGGATTCGTTTATTTAAAAAGTAACGTGTATTACGTTTCATAGAGGAAGAGTTTTTTAATCATGTTGTTCGTGTATTTTTTTTTCACAAAAATACTGCTATTAAGTAGATACATTTAATAAATTTTATAAAGACGTAGTAGTATATTATATTACAAAACATAATATTTGTTTGTATAAGTAGCCCATCGTAAATTTTTTTGTTACACCGAGCATTTTGGCATCCACGACAAATTGAGCATTTGCAAACCGTAGGTAGCTGATGTCCTATTTCGCATCGTCTAATACGAAGACGAGACTAATCTTGTCTAATCTTGAATAATCTGAATTAATCTCATGCAATCTAACGACAGCTTTCTCGACATGAAGTACGGGACATACAACGTAATAGATTTGCTTTCAATTAGAAACAGTATTTCGCTGATAACGTTCTCTTGCTTCTCGCTTGGATATCGTGAAACTTTATCTTTTCCTATCTGTTACAGATTTAAGTCAGATCAGTTAGTCTAAATCTAAGTTAGATCAGTTAGACTCTAAGATCATTCTATTTTAAATTATTCATCTTTCGTAAAATCATATATATTTTAGTATTTCTTCAATTTATTTTACAATTGTCTACATCAGTAAATTAGTAAGCTTCGGTGATCTATCGTTAAATTATTCAAAATGAATCGATGATTTAGAAATTCTAAACTTTCACAGTCGATTTATATTCGTGAAACTTTGTTAAAATAATATCGGAAGAGAGAGAGAGAGAGAAAGAGAGAGAGAGAGAGAGAGAGAGAGAGAGAGAGAGAGAGAACAAAAGTATAAGAGAGTAAAGCGATTCAATTTATAGAGGTTTCAAAGTATCAGACAAATGTATAAAAGTCTCGGAAAGGTAATTACTCGGTAATGTTACTATAACGTTGTCCTT